ATTGTGATTTACCTTTCCCTGCCACAAAGGAATTTTTAAAAATATATTTGTTCTTTATAATCAAACCCTTTGGAAGTTTTCTAAAGTCATGTAAGTTATTTTGTTTACTCAAAACCAATTACTGTATCAGTTTTAACTGAGTCTGACCATTTCTAAACTGATTTTATCATTGGCCCATATTACCTAGTGAAAACAGATTAGCAGTTTCCAAAGTACATAAAGTACATAAAGAAAACAACTTCATCAGTACTAACTGGGAATATGCTAGCTACCCCTTATTTCAGAATAAGGTATCCCAATTCCTCCTTTTAAAACACTGTGTTGTATCTACAAAAATAAAAAAAGGAATTCCTGAAAAAAATCACCCAAATTTATATCATTTTTATTTATGTTAGCCTTTAAGAAACATTTTGAAAGCATGAACCTAAAAAAAAGTTTAAGGCTCTTGCTTTTTGCTTAAAATTTAGACTCTATTAGTTATCTACACTGGCCACAAGGTGGGGCTCTGATGTCACAATTTGGCAAGATTTGTAAAATGTATATTTATGTAATCACAAATGAAAATAATAAAAAATTTAATATAATAATCTCATTTTTTAAATATGCACATTTTCAATTAATCAATTATCTAATCATTTATGATCAGCAGAAGAAAGTTATGCTTTAATTTGTCCATTTCTCACCTGGAAGTTAAGCTCTGTCAAATTTTAAAAGTCTCCTGAGTAGGTGCAGGATTTTATATCATTATGTGCTTTCCTTAAGGATTTTTTCTGCCATTTCAGATTACATTCCTAAAGGAAAAGTAACTGAACTTAAATCAGTGTTAAGAAAAATGTCTTTTAAAATTATTTTATAATTAAGCACAGAGAAGTTCATTACTTATTACAAATCTACATGAATTTTGTTTTTCTCCTTCTACATCCCTGAATTCTCTTTTTGCAATCTAATAGTTACTTTGGGATGAAGATAATTTGAAAGGAACAAGATTTTCCTTAAATTGTTGATAGCATGCATGATGTTTTCCATTTCTTTTGTTAAAACCATTCTTTAAGTTGATTACTTGTTTATCTTGTTAAATAGGCAGAAATTCTTTTCTAATTTTCAAGAGTTTAATCAGATTTTTTTAAGTCAACCATTTTTCAGTAAAGATAGAATAGCATGCTAAAATAATCATTGTTACTTGATTTATCACAAAAAAATTACAGTACCTCAAGAATCAGCAAAGAAACTACTTTTCCAAATTAATATTTTCTAATTTATTTCAATATATTAAGAATAAAACAAAAATATAATTTAAAGTTTATCTTTAAAATTAAAAAGAAACTGCCTGGAAGATTTGAAATTTATAAAGTCCACACATCCCTTGCATATATATCCATCTTTCCAATTTTCTAATTCTTTTTATTAGAATAATTTAGCAATATAGTACTCTGCATTTTAAAAGCATGTCTGTGTGTACAGTTTTCTTCTCTTTTCATTACTTATTTCTTAGTGTATTTCTCTTCAAATTTAATCCAAAATTCATTGCTTTCATTGAAGAGCTTTATACATTTCCCCAGTTTCTCCCCAATGGCTTTTTCTTAATAAAGAGTTACACTAAAAGAAGTCTGTAGCTTGCTATTCTGAAAGACACAGATAAACAGTGCAGTTTGACAAAAGCTGCTTTCGTCAAGTTTAAAGACTTTAATTTTCTGAAATAGTCAACATCTAGTCAAAGTGAGGTATTTACTGAGACTGACTCTCAACTGTGACAGAAAATTTTGTTTGGCTTTCCTGCAACTTGAAGAGATCTGTTGTATAGACCACTCCATATTCCAAATGAATGACATGCCCCAAAAATGTCATACAAGATGGGCTTTAGGGCTTAGCAAGCAGGGAGATTAAGAAGTGCATATGAAAGTCAGGAAAGTAGGAGTGAAGGAAAATATAAAGAGATTCTGTCATTAGGATGGACCACTCAGATTGTATGTTAACTGTTTTCCATATGTTTATTCTGTAGAAGGGTACTTGATTTCTTAGGTAAGTTACCAATACAGGTAAATTACTAGTGTTTTTCAAAAATAAAGCAGAGTGAAAAAAATTAATATACTGGACTACTACTAAAGTATCCATATTAAGGGAAGATATTCACATTGATTCCTATGCACATTAAGGATGAGAAAAAATGCCACCATTAGCATTTAGAGCCCTTTGGTAATATATGTATACACACACACTCACATACATGTACCCGCAGACACCAATAGTTACTATTGACATCAATACACTTCAATTTATTGTAATTAAATTACATTCTCTTTTCTTTCTACTTTTTTTTTCTTTACAATTAATACACAGATGTATTTCCATAGTAAAAGATTTTGGTTCCTCAAAAACTTAAAAATTGTGATGATATGATCTAGCAATTCCACTTCTGAGAATATATCTGAAGGAAACTAAATCATTATCCCCAAAAGCTGTTCACATTCCCATGTTCACTGGACCATTATTTACAACAGCCAAGACGTGGAAACAACCTAAGTGTCTATCAACAGATGAATGCGTAAAGAAAAAATGATATATATAAATACACACACACACACACGCACATGCACACACACTAGAATATTATTCAACCATGAAGTAGAAGGAAATATTGCCATTTGTGACAACATGGATGAGGCTTAAGGGCATTGTGCTAAGTGAAATAGGACAGAGAAAGACAAATACTGTATGATCTCACATATATGTGGAATTTTAAAAAACCGAACTTACAGAAACAGAGAATAGATTAGTGATTGCCAGAGCTGAACATGTTTCAAGCTATAGCTTTCCCTATCCACCTAATCCTGCCTGATTTCCAGCTTTCAAATTTTTGACCTACTTAGGGAATTTGTCGCACTTTCGCTCATTAATTATGAATTGTTCTTTTTTTTTGTTTGTTTGATGAAACCTCCCCGGGAACTTCAATCAACACCGATGTCCTCCCTCCTCCTTCCTGTTCATTTATAGCAATCATTGCTTGCAAAATGCACGCATTTTCATTGTTCATGTTTTATATAGTATTTCCTTATCTGATAACGTCTTTATTAATTTAACTCTTTCTCCTACACAGATATAATCCTATTAGAGTCAGGGACCATTCTTACAATTCAGTTTTGTTTTCAAAAGACTGCGAGTTGGGCTTCCCTGGTGGCGCAGTGGTTGAGAGTCCGCCTGCCGATGCAGCGGACATGGGTTCGTGCCCCGGCCCGGGAAGATCCCACATGCCGCGGAGCGGCTGGGCCCGTGAGCCATGGCCACTGAGCCTGCGAGTCTGGAGCCTGGGCTCCGCAACGGGAGAGGCCACAGCAGTGAGAGGCCCGCGTACCGCAAAAAAAAAAAAAAAAAAAAAAAAAGACTGGGAGTTAGTGGAAAAAGACAGACCTTTGGGAGCCAGACAGATCTGTGTTTACAGACAACCTCTGCTTCTGCAATTTGCCCATTGTGTGGCCTTAGGAAAGTCATTTTATCTTCTTGAGATTTCGTTTTCTTCCATAAAATGAGGATAATAAAACTTGCACTGTGAGATTGTTGCGACAATTATAGATAACCTACATAAAGTAGCTGGCCTACAGTAGGGACTCAATAAACGGCCCCAATTATTCTAATACGGTGCCCAGCCCATGTTATGATCAGCACTTAGTAATACTTGATGAGTAATAAGATAATGATGATAGTTGATAGGGTAACAGTAGGACTAGATTTAATCTTCAGGATAAATTGTTCTATTTAAAAGTACATTTCATATCATTTCATGAAGTCTAGAAAAAGAGGAAAGGTAGAAAATGTGCTCAGCTGATTGCCTTGATCCAATTTCTGGCAACATAGCATGAGATTAAAATAGCTACTATAAGTCACCACCTACTACTGGAAAGAACTAGTATCTGGTTATGTCCTTCCTCTGAAGTGTACCACAAGGGACATTAAGCTGGCTTGCACTGGTAGAACTGTTTTTTATAACCAAAGTCTGTTCTGAATGGTTGGTATCCATGACATACCAGTATTTATATTTAGAATACCATCCTGAAGTATAGTAATATAATTCACAAATAATTATTAAAATATCTCTTCAATCAAGTTGATGGATAGTAGGAGTTTACTTTGGATATTAAGTGCCAATAAAGAACAAAAAGGCGATAGAACCCAACTCCTTATTTCCTAAATCCATCTCCCAGTAATATAACATCTTACTCATCACCATACCTTCAGTGCTTGGACCAGTGCCTGGCCCACAGTAAGGACTTGAAAAACACCATTGAGTAAATCAATATATACCAAATAAATATTTTTGTCTCTGTTTTCTCACTTGTAAAATAAGTTAGATGAAATCTCTAGTCAGTCTGAAATGGAAGATATTACAATTCAATTTGGAATTCAATAACTAGAATGTTTATTAAGTTCTGATATCAGTAAATGTACCAAGCAAAATTTAAAAATCACGGCCTATTGCATCCAGATATTCTTTCAGTATACTCCACCATATATTCTCTTCTAAAGATAAATCACCAATAATAAAGAGAACAACAGAAACTTATTTTAAATTATTTTATTTTTCATAATTTTCTAACACATGGTGTTAGAAAAATGAAATTTGGCACCATGACTTAAAACTTTTTTCAAGTTTAACCTTTAAATTAAAAACAGTAGCTACAATAAGAATATTTAAACCTCACTCAGAGTAATGGTAAAAACTCAAGTCACAAATTTTTTGGTGTTGGGGAATTTCTTAAAGTGGGATAAAAGGAAGGTAATAAAAAGGGTAAGAAGGATAGGGGCTTCCCTGGTGGCGCAGTGGTTGAGAGTCTGCCTGCTGATGCAGGGGACACGGGTTCGTGCCCTGGTCCAGTAGGATCCCACATGCCGCGGAGCGGCTGGTCCCGTGAGCCATGGCCGCCGAGCCTGCGCGTCCGGAGCCTGCGCATCCGGAGCCTGTGCTCCTTAACGGGAGAGGCCACAACAGTGAGAGGCCCGCGTACCGCAAAAAAAAAAAAAAAAAAAGAGTAAGAATGACAAAATGGAGACTATGCTGGGAAGACAAAAATGTGAATCACCCTCCTGAAGAAAAGAATTAGGAGGAAGACAAAAGGCAAAAGGGAAGAACAAAGGCTCACCAACTTTATCTTCCTGATATAAAATTCAAGTACTTAAAAACGTAAAAAGAGTTTTTTTAAAAAAAGTCATAAAGTGTTACTACTAATCTCAATGAAATTTTCTTTTTCCTCATTATTTTCTAGAATAAAAAAAAAAACAACAACCCTGTTTTGAGTTAAGGACACTTGCTGATCTTAAGTTGATACCTGATGTACTTTAAGAAATCGAAAGGCTCAAAAGCTGTCCTAAATCTAACATCTACTTAATATAATCTACCTTGGAAAATTCATCTGAAGGAACATAAGGCTTGATTTCTACTGCAAATGTAAAAAAATCTGTCTAACAATCTAAACAGAAATGTTTTCCACTGGATATGTACCTCAGTTATACTTTGTACTAAGTTTCTTGAGGAAAAACACTGTGTAATATTGTTCTTTGTATTCCTTCAGTAACTACTGTAAAAGGTACCTATATAGGCAGTCAAAAAAGCACTTACACAATTAGTTGCACACAAATTCAGTTAGAACTCCAGTTTTTCAGCATTTCAAAAATTAAAATTTTTGAAATATTCATTTATATCCATTTTGTCTACATGTTGATAAATAAAACTCTTCCCAGCCTTTTAATAAGAAATTATTAGTCTCATTTGTCACTTGTTCATCTGTACCTGAATACTTTATCAACTGAAACACAAATTCAGAAAATTGTTATTATTCTCAGAGACAATAAGGCATAGAAATAAATATTTGCTTTTACATTTTTTTTTCCTTTTTCTTCTTCTTCAATCTGTGTTTTAAGGCTCAGAGCAGATATTAAGAAATAACAATTTTTTATAAAAAGTTTTTCAAATGTTTGGCCCAAAGTGAAGTTGTTCTGTGGAAGTTATTTAAATATTCTTCTCATCGTCTCAAGCACAACTTCAAAGACATGTTCATGCCAGGCATCCATTCCAAAAGAAAACTGAATTCAATGAAAAGTAAATAACTTAGGGATCTATAAATGACACAGCGATGTATCTCGTTCCATTTTTAACAGGAAGTCCTTCATGCAAATGCGTGAGTCTCCCTGGATGCATGAAACTCCAGCCTTTTCTTGGTGACTCAATAGAGCAATTGTACCTTAGAAATTTGCATCCACCTCCCTAAAAAAGATAGACCAATAAATGTATCAACTTGTTGTTTCATTTTTAATGAGTGATAAAATTCAAATGATGATATCTAAGCAGAATCTAAAAAAAAATAAGGCAAAGCCCTTTCATAATGACGTATTTCTTTTGAAAAATGTAAAAAAAAAAGCCATAATTACCTGAAAATCTTCTCCCACATTATTGAGTGCAATGTTGATGGTAAATGTAGAAGCGTCATGATGAGGGCGAAGAGAGCGTTGTCTTTCAGGGGAGTATTTTACTACGAAATTCAACAGTGCAAACCCCTAAAAGAGCAAAGTAAATCAATGGATTTGCTTATCAATGACAATATAAAATAGCACATTTGTGTAAAAACTGGTAGGAGGTAGGCAGCAGGAATGGGAGGATAATTACCTTAGTATAATAGCCTGCGAAGACCTTCAGCGTAACAGGCGCAATAAATTCCCGGATAAAATGAAGCCATACATTCTCCAGACCAATTTGCTTCATGTGGATATCATCAGTTGGGACATTTTCATAACCACCAGATATACGGCTATCCTAAAAAGAGTATTCATGACATCATAAACTGTGGTCTGTGTGCAATTCACACTTACATTATCTTGGAATTTTTTTCAACCACAAGATCATAACAGACAATAAAAATAACAGTTCAATTATGGTGTACCATCTGCTTTAATTGCGAAACTATCAAAATAACTTAGATAACATGGCTTTGCAAATGTATCAATGATGAAGCAAAGTATTACAGAGTAAGACTGCTTTCCTACTTATTTAATAGATATGTGAGGTCTGATGAGAAAGTAATAAAATTGATTGCCAAAGCCTTCCCGTGTCCCCTAAAAAATGAGTGTTTTTACAGTGAACCTTCAGGCAGTCTTAGCTGGTGATGGGCATAGATTCTGTCTGTCTGCCACTTGGATTACCTGTCACTGAAAATAAACTTTCCCTGCCAAGTTCCTCACTTTTATTTTGTGGCACCCAAAGTCCTTCCATGATTGCTTTTCATTATCCTACAACCTGCTGACTTCAAGCTCTTCCTCATACTTTGAACTTCTGTCTTCCTGATCAGCTAACTAGCTGGGGAATATATAATTGAGCAGAGGCAGTGATATTCCAGAACATTCCACGAAAATTCCTCAGTACTGTGAAGGAGCTGGCATCTGTGGGTTCTCAGAGGAAAAGAAATACCTTGAACCACCTACAGTAATGCTTTCAGCCAAGTCTTTGACTCTGAATGTAAATGCAAAACTGAATTACACCAAAGGCATTCAAACAGATTCCCCCTTCCTATGTCTACACACAAAAAAATAGCTTTGGCAGTCAACCAGAGAAACTTTGTCTTGGTATTTTCACTACAGCTCACTGCAAAAATGCAGAGAATAAAAAGTGACCTTGGAGAAGAGCAGTGTCACACAATAGGCATTACCTTACCATCCCCAGCCAGGAGACACTGACCCTTAAGGCCTATCCAGTGTAATTGGAGATGAAACTGAGGCCCGGATAGATTAAATGTTAAACAATTAGTACCAGAATTAGGCTAAAAACAAGTTCTCTTGACAGCCTTGGGTAGCCCCTTCATTTAGGTCTAAGACTCAGAGATGTAAGACAAAAAGGACAAACCTCCTCTACCTTCTCTAAATATCTACACTCCTCCTTGCCCCACATACACATTTTAGTTCTTTGTGTGAAATGACAACTTACATGATGTTTTCCCCCAGACCACTGGCCATAATGCTCCATTTCTTCCACCAATTCATCGCAGGCTTTTTCAGAAAATATAGGAAACCAAAAAACATCTGGACAAGGCTATATATAAAACATGATATCACCATTAAGAGAATAACATTTTGTGTCTTTTTACTAAGAAATGGCATTTCAAAAGTACAGAATATTCAATATTTATCTCACTTAGATGTCTTTTTAAGAAGTTTGCCCAACATTACTGACAGTACTGTTACAAACAATACTAGTTTGGGTTTTGGTTTTTTTTAAACATTTCTAAGACTTCTATTTTCATTTATTTACTTATTTTGTTTGCATTTTAACATCTGTGCAATCAAGACGTGTCTTAGAGACACAGTTGGCCAGGCAGCCATAGGGATGTTGTTAATGCCACAGGGCATGTACACTTGGTCAGGCATTCATTCTGTCCTCACTTTGTGTGTATCTGTGTGTGTGCACATGCACACATTTAGTTGGCACGGCACTTGTTGACTTGCCTTTTGAAACATCTTTTTAAATGATTTATACTACCACTCATTGAAATGAAATGCTATTATGTATACAGTGCTCTATAACATATAACATATATGCCTTAATAAGTCTAAAATAGCTCTTTCAATATGCATAAAATTAAAAATTCTAAGTGACTAGAAAACATTGCATCATAGTTTAATTGGCAGTATTTTTTTCCTTTCTCATGGTACACAAAATAACAGAGCATCTCAGAATTAAAGACATTTTAGACACGTTACATTCTCTGAAATAAGGTATTAGCAATAGTTTGGAACACTAACCTCAAACAGAGTTCATTTTTTAAAAGACCTCTCTGAGAAGAGACGCTTGGAGCTCAATTTCTTTCAAAGATAAACTTTCATTGAAAGAGGCCTACACCAGAGATCTGCCAAGAATTCCTTATTTTTGAGATAGCTATAACATTTGGGAGTATGCTAAAACAATGGCATGATCTTAAAATTATTGTTAATTCTCATTTTTCTACATGTTTACAACTGTATGACCCTTAAGGCTGTAAAACTGGTAATTAAGTCATATGAATTTTACCTAAAGGATAAAAGTTTCTCCACTTTCACAACATCTGCTGCTAAAGCAGTATTGCATTAATAATATTCCCTGCTGGAAAATACAGCAAAAATGCTCTACATATCATAGTAATTATTAATACAAACCTGTTCAACTATATTTTCAGTGAAAATCTTCGAATAATCTCGGTTTATATACTTTTCCTTCCAGTCCTACAAAAAAATCAATTGCACAGATTAAAGCAAAAACCTTTTCATAAATACTTTAATAGAAAATATAAAGTACATGCACTTTAGAAATTGCTCAAGCAATTTATAAATGACTACATGTAGTGGACAAAGTAGGAATTTTCAGAAACCACAGTTTATGTTTTTTAAACTTTGCCTGATTCTATGTATGTTCACATCATTTTATGAAATGCAAAATTTTTATTTACGGACTTTTATAACTCAGGATTTTAAAATTTGAGTAATCTTATAGTCACTATATTTGTATACTATATTCTATGCATATAAATAGGTGTAGGTAAATATGTGTGTTTTAAAAGTGAAAGATAAGGAACATAATCCTACCAACAAATATTCGTAAAACTTAATTAGTAAAAATTACTAAAATTCATAAAAATATTAATCAACTTGGCCTTACTTATAATTTTATAGTGAATTACTCTAAAATAATTTTGATTTTTTTAAATGTATTTAAAATTTCTGCCTTCAGTTTTAGATGTGTATCAAAGAATGATCATGGGGTTACTATTTCATATCTTTTAGTTACTGAAATTAAGGTATAAGACCATATATTGAAAAATAGCTCCTCTTCATACTAATTCATGAACCTGAATCTTCTCTTAGTCCAATCACTGACACGTAAGCCACACACTAAGATACATCAATTTTTGTCAATATCAGCTAAGGAATCCTTTTCCTGGGTCAAGTGTTTTATTTAAAAGCCCAATATTTAAAGGGTGTGTATTAAAATATGAGTCAATATCCAAAATGATCTTTTCTTAAATATATTTAGACCATCTAACAAAATTCTTAATTTTCTCTTTGCAAAGTACAAATTAAGTGAGCAAACAGGAAAGAATTGAGATACAGACTCAAAATAATTCCAATCAAAATACGTTTCAAAAATATTTGTCTGAAATATATCTTTTGAGGCCACAATTCAGAAGGGCTCTGATAATTTATTTGCCATTCTTAGTTTTGCATATCTCTGCTTATGTGTAACTCAGAAATTTTTGATATGGAAGAATAAAAGTTATCTTCAAATTCTTTAACAAATTTAATTTATACATAGTATATCATTATAAGGATGAAATTACTGTATTATCTCATTATTCCCTTTAATATTAATTGGTTCTCTGATTCCAAAACATGGGGGAAAATTAGCAGTAAATAATCATACATAACATTTCAGAACCTTTAAATATTTTTAGGTATCCTTTCCTGGCATCATTATAGATTTTTTGAAGTTAAAGAAACAAGCTCCTAAGATTTTACATTAAAGCATTAATATTAACTTTTCATTTTAGACTGCTTTTCAAATGTCATGGAACAAACTGACTTTACTAATTTCTTAGAAGTTCTGATAATGGGATAATCATTAAATATTTTGCTATGGGATACCCCTCATGAGGCATGTCAGTCAGGCTAATTTACCAAAAACAAAGCATGGAAAGAAAAGCAGTTCCTATTATTTCTGATATATTCATTGCATACTCTCTAAAGATTTGAATTCTCACACAAATATCTACAGGATATAACTTGGGAAATTTTTTTCAGGAAACTAATTATTACCCAAGAAATCAAATAATTCTGTCTCTCAAAATACCAAGAGATTCAGTGCCAAAGTAAAATATGTAATTCCACCCTCACCATTTAAAAAATGCCTCTTTTCAATTCTACTCCTGTGAAAGATGGAGATACGCAGCTAAAATGAAACAAAAGTATTTTTAAAATACCCCAAAAAAGTCAAAAGATATTCTTTTTCCTTCAAAAGAGTTCCAGAGACCATTAAATTTACTATTCCCAAAAGTCAACTACTACAAAATAAAAGACAATTCTCATCAGGTAGATTGAGTCTTTGTAATTTAAAACTTTCACTGTTGGGAAGGAGAAAACCATAAATAGTAGTATTACAGAGATTAGAGAGAGTATTTTCCCTTGAATAATTGTGCCAACTTGACTAAAGAAAACCAACCCAGTAAGACAAAAAAGGAATTAATGTCTACATGATTCAAATCTTTCAGAAAAGAAATAATTTTGGACTTCAAAAGGAAATCATTTCCTCAACTTAAGACTTTATATGCTGAATCCACTTACTCTGCAATTTTCTCTAGCTATCTTTGGTGTACATTCACAAAATTGTTATAAAAAACAAACAAAATGATAAAATAAAATCCATTTTCACAAACTAACTTTTTGAATTCTTTTCCTGAAAGTCAAAATGTAATATTGTCATACGTGAGCTACTTGTAAACATTTTCCTCTGAAATTGTGATTAAAAATTTGTTGGAGTTTTTGAATATATAAACAGAGATATTGGGAGAAACCAAAGAAACTGATAATTCCCTTCCCCAAACCTCATGTCTTTAAAAAGAAAGTTCTTAGTCAAGAAATATAATTATGCCTTAAAAAATATAATTAAAGATACCTTTTTAAAGCCTCTTACCATATTTTCATATTATTAACCTAACTGATTTACATCCATTTAGAGTTATAGGAAAATAAGTAATAAATGAAGTTGAGCATGAAATACATACCACAGGATTTTCAAAAATCTGCCAGAGGTCATTGTTATAATGGGAAATATTATAATTAGCAGTTGATAATAGTCTTCCAAATTCATGTCTATTAGAAATGTACATAAACACACCCTATATGCCAAAAAATAATAGTATTAATCATCTTGGAGGAAAGTACAAGAACATAAATTTAACCATAGGAAAAATATACAGAAGATATTAATTTCAACTTTTATATCTCATTCAGGAACATGCATTTTTATTTTTCATATAAAACATGCATGATTTAAAATAAAAAATAAAATTTTCATTAATTATGAATTCAGACACCACACAAAACTAATTGATAGCACTGACACTCAACTGAAAAAAAGAAGAATAACTGTTTTTGTCCCTTTCTCATTGGTCCTAAATGTAGACATCAAGGAAAAAGAATTCCTGTTTGAAAGCAGAAATATTTTTGAGACACCAAAGTGCAATTAATTGTACCTCTTTCGGCTTCTTTCCCTTTCAAAGAAGATATCACATTTTTAAACAAGAATTCAAAGGTCAATTTTATTTTGTCAGTCTATTTCATACTTTTATTGTCCTGATATTTAGAGACTGAACACAGAAATTACTCCTGCATTATGAGGCAGCTAAAGAAAATCAGTCTCCTGTCCTTGCCCCAAACCAAATAAACGTGGCAAACACCATTAAGGTAAGGTTGTTTCTTTTTGTACCTGTTTTAATAGTAAAATAGTTAGTAATACAAAAAAAAAATGGTGAAGAGTACCCAAATCTCATTTTAATCAGGATGTACTTTATACTTACTCCTACTTCTTCTCTCCCTTAAAAAAACAAAAACTGGAAAAACTAGTTAAAGTGATTTGGATTTAACTTTCTCATTTGTCAGCCATAAAATCTAAATCAGCCCAAAGAACTAAGAAGTGAGTATCACACAATGTGTACCCCAACATGCAAAGCACACACATACATGTACAGATTCAGAACCAATGAATACCGACCGTTTACACCAAGCTAAAAGGAAAGAAGACTCTTAAACTTTACTTCTAGACAATATCTAGTATTTTAATTAAATAAATAAAATTAAATAAACCAAAACAAGTAAAAATAAATAAAAATAACACCTTTGGGGGCCTGAGCATTTGGAATGTTTCCGGAGTAGGGGAGTCTTTTTCCCTTTGTAAAGTCTAAAATGAAGAGAAGGATTGGGTAAGTTGACCTGCACACCCACTCTCTCAGGTATTCTTAGGTAAATAAAAATAGCAGCCTTTGATCAAAAGCTGACATTCTGAAATGTCCTTCACAGACAACATGCAGAACAAGCAAAGCTTACAGCGCACACAAAGAAACAACTCCAGCCCTTTTTTTTTTCTGTTGGTCAAACATAAATCCAAGCTCATTCCTTAGTAGAATTTTCATTAGATACAAAATTAAGAGAAAGGAAAAAGGTGTAAGAATGGCCATTCCAGGATGAGCTGTTGAGTCAAATTAGCCAAACATGAGCACAAATTACAATCACAAGTACTGAGTATATTCAATATAACAATGGACATAAGTTTATAGGAAAAACGAATATATTCAAACAATACATGCCTTATTAAACCAGAAAAAAAGTACTTGCCAACTTTCCTGATTTTTTCCAAAATCACATTTGCTTGTATAAATTTGAATAAAATAACCCAACCATTTTAAAACAGAAAACCATATAAATGGTTTTCTGAGGTATTAATGTTAATACGTTTTAAGACGTATTAACACATTTTGAAAAACAAACTATTTTCTACAATCACTTAAGTTTTATCACATTTGTAGAATAGCAATGTATCATTAATTTTTCACATAGATTAAATAGACTACATGTTTCAATCCTTCTCCCAGATTAGTGGTAAGGAACCTACTTTTTGAGAGTATGGGGTTAATAATGATAGAGAAAATATGGACATTGATTTCAGGACAAAAGTGTGTTTTTCTTAAATGTGTAACTGATCATTTCACCCAGGCTTCATACAGTTAACTTTAATTAGGTCAGGTTTTAACTATAGAATTTCAAATGAAAGTAAAGGCAAATTCTTAAAAATGCAAAGTTGATTTGTAATAAATCTATGTTTATTATTGAAAATCTTACTGTTGCTTATGAGTTAACCTAAGCACCAAGCCTAACTTTTTTCAAGTTGTTTCTATAGGTAAATGTTCCACAGGTAAATTATTCTCCACAATTGCTTCCAGTATTTCAATACAGAACCAAAAAAATTGGCTAGTACTATAAATTAGAAAGAAAAAGGGCACCAAAACAAATGACACATCAACTGGGAAAGCAAGCCATCTTATAGAGACATTCAAGCAAGCCATTATTGTATACCCTACCATTTCTCTAGCATTTCGGCAAAGAGCCATATCAGGATCCAATTTATCACGAACAAAATAGTTCCTTTCATTCATCTCTGATCGGAGTGTCTTTCCTTTAATTAAGTACACGTTAGCCATGTATGGGACATTCCATATCCCTCTGAAAGTAAAGATAAGACGTTCCAAAGTACCACAAATACGAAGTTTTATTTTTATGTTTTTAAAATAAATGCCTTCTATGTTTTTAAATTTTGCAGATATAAACTATTGAATCAAGTTACACACAAATGCAAACACATTTAATGATATCTGACACATATGTACACATATATATATACATGAGATTACTTGGTAAACGCTACATACTATGAGATAAATCACTATCTCCCTACATAAACTTCATTTTAAGATTGATATGTTTGGCATTTTGGCTGTCATCCCTCATTCTGTTGATACAGCTGGAGTATAATATTCTGTTGTACATTTAAGATTAAGCAGCCTGATAGCAAAAAATAGCACATCCAGCCAGTGGCATACTGCAGCCAGCTCACACTGGCTCCCCAGAGCATTTGGCTTTCCTTCTGACTTCACATTGGAAGCCTGAAATTAGCCGTGGTAGAACTATTCAGAACACAGAACTGGGCTAACACTACAAATCAGGGCATCCTCCAACTCAAAGAACTAGTTGTTAGACATTTACCAGCATATCACTGAATACAGCCTAAAATTCTCCTAAAATATAGCCTTTTGAAATTCATTAAGCTATCTCAATTGTCTGTAGAAAAAGGAAGATATAAAGAAACAGAGCTAGAAGTACCTGAGTGTTGGGAGACAGTTTATTTTGTCCTTTATTCTTTCCCACACTTGTCTCCTTATTCTGAACATGACTCATTTCATAAAAACAATATAATAGAGGTTCACCTGAAGGGATATACCTTTGCTTTTAGAGCACAGAAAGGGAAGATCCTGACCAAGGAAATGTAGTTAATTGAAAGCAATATACGTAACATCATTTTGTCTTACTAGATGAGCCTCAAAGGAAATGGCCAATCAAAAATATACAATGTGTCCGCTGAATTCAGAAATTAATCACTGGTATGGTAGAGTGTGCACTGTTTCAATTTTAAAGGAAAACACACACACACACACACACGTCACAAGATGTCATTCTTTCATGTAGCTTTTATACATAAGGTATGTTCTTCTATTAACTAAATCAAAAACCTCTATTTTATTCTTTTCCTTACACTTTAGACAACAATTACAGGAGGTTGGACAGAAAAACACCAGTGCTTAAAACAAATGAAATATGAGTTCTCTATTTCTACTTCTGTGAAGCCTTATTCCCGCTATACCCACAGACAATATCAGGCATGTGGTCTATCCTGATCATTCCAGAATCAATTAACGTACTTTGAAACAACAGAATATGATCTTAATAGTATTTTCTCAGTTATCATGCTTCTTAACTGCAGCTAACAAAAGCCTTTATCGTTTACATCATTCAAATTGACTATTACTGCTTTTACACCTATTATTATTTTCACAAGCAAAACATCTCTTTACCACTCAACTGTTCAACAAGAAGTGTGGGGTTTTTTTTTCCCTACATTTTAACCCTTTTTAATTGCGCTGATGTATCTGAGAAATTAGGCAAAGCACTTAATGTCTCAGTCACTCTGGTCCACCATCTGTATGAAAAACAGGGTACATTCTTCCTTAATATTACCTTAGCAAAAAAACTACTTCAGGTGTGATTAATTTTTAGTTTAAAAAATATCAATTGTTGTCTCTGAAATAAATATCAGTCATGCACATACTTTGTAGTAAGTATATTCTTTTCAAACTCTAGAAATGGAAATCATACTGGCAAAGCAATTTCTCTTTAAAGCAGAATATTGGCTATATTACACAGAAAATTCTTGCAAAAGGAAATGTTGGAAGGTTTGATTGTTGGTGTTTTTGTTTGCTCATTTATAAAATTTTATAAGCTATCAAACAACCTTCACTCTAGCCACTAAAGAAATTAGCTAAACTAAATTCCCTTTCCAAACTTTAAAGAATATTCCTCTTCTAACAACCATAAGATGACTACCCATGGTAATCATACATTGCCTTTTAGTATTTCCCACAACTGAGAGTTTGTGCCTTTGAAGATTTACAGCTCTAAGAACAATTTTTTAAATATTAGTTTTACACTAGTATTGCAGGATCCCAAGTGGTCTCCAGGTCTTCAAATTTCCATTTAACATAAAGAGATAAAAAATGTTTGAAAATTCAATATAATATTAACAAAACCATATCTTTAGATAAAAGTATTTTACATTAAAAGATCAAATCAAGTAACTTACACTCTATTCCCTTGAACAATATCCACATAATCTTCAGATCGAGCATAGTATCCATCAGGACTCAAGGCCCCCCAGAAGTTGGACCACAGCTTTCCATGACGAGTTACAAGAGGAGCAATGATCTTTCTAAAGAGAAGAGAGAAAAACAAATCCAGATAATTATTTACTTTTTAATTGCCACAGAATTATGTGTTTTGGGCTTAACATGACACAGAAAACAATAAAGTTCATTTAGCACACATGTAGTTAGTCCAAAAAACTAAATGTAAAATAAAAGAGAGGAATTTCCTCCCCTCACTTTCTTTAAAAGTAAGTACATTGATGACTTTCAATGATGTTTTTTAAAAAAGACTAATGAGGGCTTCCCTGGTGGCGCAGTGGTTGAGAGTCCGCCTGCCGATGCAGGGGACGCGGGTTCGTGCCCTGGCCCGGGAGGATCCCGCATGCCGCGGAGCGGCTGGGCCCGTGAGCCATGGCCGCTGAGCCTGCGCGTCCGGAGCCTGTGCTCTGCAACGGGAGAGGCCACAACAGTGAGAGGCCCACGTACCGCAAAAAAAAAAAAAAAAAAAAAAAAAGAAAAGACTAATGAGAAAGGAAAAGTAATTGAAAATGCAAATTAAAGTATAAAAACAACTTTTAAAAGTATCATACTTATATCCAAAAAGTATAGCTACCTTAATTATTTAGTTATTTTAGTATTTTGAAAATTATACTAAATGAAATCAAATATTTTCATTGTTATTAGGCAGACGTAACAGTCCCTGGTGCATTAAGGTATCCAATAAATATTTGCTGAATAAAGAAATGTATGAAGATGGGCTGAGATATTTGTAAGTAGGCCAGTTTTCCTAAAGTTAAGGCTTGAATTACTTTAAAGTATGTTTCCGTTTTTTTTTTTTTAACTTTTAAAATGGGTTGTGCTAGCCCTGGCAACACTAAACATTTTTCTGGTCTTTTGACTATTTTAGAAAACAAAATAAAAGGTGACTGCTATACCATGCTGTCTCACTACCTACCAGGAAAGCAGCCCCTTTAAGACAAGTATATGTTACAAATTCAAAACATGCCAGATTTCTTTTAAGGAAATCTAATTTATAATGTGTCAACATTTTCCAAATGAGGTAACAAAATCTGAAGTTCTGTTAGAATTATTTTTAAAATGAAGTAAATTGTAATGGTGTCACACAATTTTGAAGAAAATCTCACACAACTCCTCCAAGAGGAAGGTTATAGACCAACTATTTCCACAAAAAAACCTATTTCACAACCCTCCAATCTTGTGAAGACCAGGTGTGCCCTTTCTCTTACCTATGGAAAAATGACACACAGTCTGTAAATACACTTCATGCAAAATAATGATTGTAGTTTATTTTTCCTGCTTCCTATTAGAATAAAATGTTAACCAGATACATTTACATTTTGTTTTGTTTAGAATACCTACAATATTGGAAATAAAAACATAAATTAGAATCTACATATTATGTTAATCTAAGGAATGAATGATAATTCAATGTCGATAACTAACAAGATCAAATATTTAATAGAAAAAAATCTTGTAATTTATAATCTTAGCTGCCTGACAGAGCTAGGGAAAGAGACATTGAAAATCAAAATCCATCTTCTGTGTGCCTCAATGTTTTCAGTACGGAATTAGAAGATTAATACTGAGAGGTTTTAGCTTTTGAAATAATAACTGAATTCTCAAATTGACAAATTATACAAACGATGGATTAGTGGAGTATAATAGACTTCTTACATATTTTATTCAGCAAAATGAAAACAGTAATTCTAACATTTCATTGCTAACCATTCTATTTGTTAAGAGAAATAATTGTGTTAATATATGTGAACATACACAGAGTAATACCTGGCACTTAATAAGCACTCACTAAAGGTGGGGTATTAGTGAGAGTATTAATAGTAGTAGCAGTAGTAGTTATAAATGAAGATTAATATCATTATAAGCCGGTATAGATGGTGCCTTTTACCCATTTCAATTCAGTTAAATGAAAACAGGTATTGCCTAGAGATAATTAGTTCAGTACTAAACAAAATCACCGATCAGGCTGTGGAATAATATGTACCTCTGAAATTTCTTTCATATTCTAAGAACTTCCAACTCTGTAATAACTTTCTAGGTCAGAAGTTTTATGAAATTCTACTTTGAAAATATCTGTGGAAAATAAGACAATTCTATTTTTAGATAGATCACAATTTCATCTAGCTTTAAATAGAAAAATAGGTCAAATATAATTGATAAACATCACATTTGTGATTGTAACTAATACTGAATATTTTGAAATTTTCATCAGGTTGTTTTCTATTTGACTTCTTTAAAAGAAAACTAATTACTTAGAATTGAAAGTTTATAAGGTGTAGAAAATAATTTCTTGTGAGTTCCCTCAATTTGCTAAACACAGACAAGTAATTATAGCACGTCCACGTAGATACAGAAAATAATTATAATTTTAAAAATAAATTGACATTGCATAATATATAGTACCTGTTTTGTTCAATCAAAATTTTTAAAGTCCTTGGATTTGTCAAAACAACATCTGCATCCACACTAAAGTAATAATCACAGTTTTCATCCTGACGGCAAAAATCCCTGTCATTGAAAAAGAAATAAAATATGCATTAAATAAAATAAATATTTGCTCGTTGAAAAATGTTAACATAAAGCTCATAAGCAAAATAAGGTTTCTCTAAAATACTTTTCTAATCAAAATAGTAAGACTATACCCAAAAGGATAAATATTATCTTAAATTTCAAAATGGTCAGTTGATCAACACAGATGTTCATGGGTAGAGTGAAACTAAAAATTTTAGGGCAAGTGAAATATATTTTCAAGCCACTAAATACTTCAAGGCATAAAACATCCAGTCAGAAGGGCAATTTATAATTCAGCATTTAATTCTCTCTAAAAAGGGAACATAATTTATACCAATGTACTTATCAACAACTTTTTTTCACAAATCAAAATGTTTTCTGCACACACACACACACACATTCACAGTGTAAAATCCTGTATATCCAACAACTCAGTTTTAATTGAATCTTGGAAATACAGGTGTATATATAACTCTTTAGGTGTTAATACTTTTAAAACTTGATTTGTGTGGAATTCTTTCTAAGATGGTCACTGCCCTGCTTCTTATCCAAGGACACGGATTGTGATGTATGCTTTCTTGGTAGAGCCTGGAGTGTTATCATCAGGAACACGAAGGAATGAACTACTTGTGATACATGATAGGCTTCCAAGTATTACGGTTTCTGCATTTGGAGCTCTCTCTTCCTGAGCTCTCCTCCCTCACTGCTGATCCGAGTTATCACTTTCTGCTACTGTCAGTGTTTAACTCCATGACACATTTGTTTCTAAGCAACTGTCAAGCAGGACAGCAGACAGGAAAGTTTGTTAAAATTGTGCAAAAAAATTAGAGGAAATTTTTTAAAAATACTGTAACTATGCACGGTGACAGATGGTAACTAGACTTATTGTGGTGATTATTTCACAATGTATACAAATATTGAAGCTGTGTTGTACACCTCAAACTAACATTATATGTCAATTATACCTCAATAAAAATGAAAATTAAATAATTTTTTAAAAACAGCTCAAATTATCTTGGAAAAAAATTTAAAAATTTATACCACATGATTTCAAGGTTAATATAAATCCCTAGTAATAAAGTGTAGCACTGATCTTAGAGCAACAAAACAGGAGTGAGAGCTCACAATCACTCATAAATACTCAGTTATCTGATTTTTGACCAAGGCCAAGTCAATTAAGTAGGAAAAGAAAAGTCTTAAATTAAAAAGGAGTATTGAAACAACTGGAATTTCATTTGCAAAGAAGAAAAGTTGACCCCTACTTCACTCCAAACACAAAAATGTATTCAAGATGAATTGCAGATTGAAACATCTTGAAACATAAATGCTAGAATGATAAAGCTTATGAAAGAAAAATTCCAAGGAATGTCTTCATGACACTGGAATAAGAAAGATTTCTTAAACAGAAAATAAACCCCAAAGCACAAAGCATAAAAGAAAAAGACGAAATAGAATTTTATTAAATTAAAATTTCTTCTTATTAAAAGGCAGTATTTAAAAAGTAAAAAATCAAGCCATAGAATGGAACAAATATTCACAAAACATTATAGAGACAGAGATAGAGTTTAGATAGATTTTGTATACAAAATATATAAATAATTCCTACAAATACACAACTAACAAGATAACCCAATGTAAACAAAAATGCACAAAACATTTAGATACCTAACCACAGTAAGATACCTTTTCATACCCAGTAGGGTGGCTAAAATAAAAAAGATGGGCAATATCAAATGTTGACAAACATGTGGAGCAGATGGAGGTCTATTACCTTGCTGTTACAAGTGTAAAATGTACAACCAGGGCTTCCCTGGTGGAGCAGTGGTTGAGAATCTGCCTGCTAATGCAGGGGACACGGGTTCGAGCCCTGGCCTGGGAAGATCCCACATGCCACGGAGCAACTGGGCCCGTGAGCCACAACTACTGAGCCTGCGCGTCTGGAGCCTGTGCTCCGCGACAAGAGAGGCCGCGATAGTGAGAGGCCCACGCACCGCGATGAAGAGTGGCCCCCGCTTGCCGCAACTGGAGAAAGCCCTCGCACAGAAACGAAGACCCAACACACCCAAAAATAAAAATTAATTAATTAATTTTTAAAAATGTACAACCATTTTGGACTACTTAGCTGTTTTTTATAAACATACATCTATCCTAACCCTATGACCTAGTTAGTCCACTCCTTGGTATTTTCCCAAACTATACTAAAGCATATGTACACACACGCACACACACACACACACAACACACATATTCACACTTCTAATAAAGAATCTTCATTAGCAGCCTTATTCATAATGGCCCCAAACTGGACATAGCCCAATGTCTATCACCAGGGGTGTGTGTAAACCACTTGCAGTATATTCATATGATAAAATACTAGTCAGCAATGAAAAGGAATGAGCTGCTGATAATTGTAATGACATGAGTGAATTAAAAAACACTGTGCTCAGGCAAAGCCAGATACAACAGAGCACATACAAAAAATTTTTAAATAGAGAAAACAAGTTCTAAATGTGGACCCAAGGTACTCTCCAATGATGAAGTTATTTGTTATGAACCATTAGTAATAACATCTGTTTGGTTTTTTTAAGGCCCGTTTTCCTGCCTGTCCCTTTACCCCCATAATAGGCACTTTCCATCACTTTGGGCCTGAAGCTTCCACAGCACAAGACAAGAACATCTCCTGCTGAGAAATCACTGAGTCTTACCTTTTCATTACCAACTCTTAACCCACTGATGGGCATATTCAATTCACATTCACTGAATAAGTGATCGTTTTCGCTATTACCAGAATTTTATTAGTCATCTGTCTGAAGTATTAAAGGGGCTAAACAAAGGACCTAAAATATTTCTTCTGTGGTGACAGTACTATTTAGATCAATAGGTAACTAGAATATCTGAAACACACATTTCTGCCACACAAAAGCTTCAGATAATGTATATTTAAATCACTGCTACATCAGTCACACTACTCATCTGTCTGGGGATTTGAATCTTGATCTGAAGTTCAGTTAATAGTTTGAATAAATATATTGACTCTTAGCCATTAAAAGAAAAACGTAAATAACTTTCATGGCCCTTTAGACATAAATACACACAAACATAGATATAGTTCGAACAGCAGAGGTATGCTCATGTGTGGGCACAAACACACACAGACGCACACACACAGTTGAGACATACAAGTTTAGGACACTAATTTTGAAGAAAAGTTGTCTTTCTTTTTTAAGTTTCTTTAGTAGATACTGGTTGAATTTAAATTTGCTAAAACATACATTCCCATGTTTCTGGCTTCGGCTTGACTTAGATTTTCTTCCGGTCCTACAATTTTCATAGTAGTGATTTCATGTTTAGCTTTATCAAAAAACACCTTGATGTCCTTTTCATGATAAACTTCCTGTAACATATTTTAAAAATTGAAAATTAGTTTAAAAAAAGAAGAAAAGTAGTGAGAAAAAGGACAATAAGATGACTGAAGTATTCATATGTAGGGATGACTTCACATTCAAAATTTGTGAATTCCACCATTCACATATTCACTCACTACAGGCAAAGTGATAACTATATAAAGCATATTATATTGAAATATCATCTAAATATCACATGTAGAATCTAAAATAGATACATATTTGTTTTTAAAAAAAGATACTTCAAAATTCTTTTAACATCTACTCCTAGTCCTTGCATTAATATTTAAATCCTGAGTGCTATAAAATATTTCTGACTTGAGGGGGAAAATGGCTTGTGCCCTGAGAATCTTAGACATGTTTTGTAAAATATCCATAAAAAATATCTATTAAACCTAACAGGTTAATCTGTTATAATCTTTTTAATAAAATAAATATTACAATATTATTTTAAGCAGAGAGAAAATTAATGGTCACATAAAAAGTTGTGTTTTTTACAAAAAGAAGGGAAAGTTAAAATTTTATTGATAAGAAAATATGATGAGAAAATAACATGAGAAGTCATCAAATTAGTGTGATTCAACTGTGCTAAAATTTAGATAAGGTTATCTATCTCCATCATTAGAGCATTTCAGAGCTCTTTATGTATCAAGTCTCACTAAGTATTTTTGAAAGCTTTTCACAGCTTGTTAAAACTACTTATCATGCAAAAGCTGCATAGAGTTAATTTTAAATAAAAGAAGATAACTCCTGCTATCAAGAGGTTTTAGGTCCTATGAAAGGAGGAAAAATATAAATAAAAGACACAATACATAAAAACAAAATACTTTAATGTAAGTACATGTATTACAATGCATTTTACAAAGCCAATGCTCAATACATTCACCCCTTTAAACTTATCTGAGGTGGTTTTCTGCAAATACAAAATAGTCTCTGGAAAAGGCAAATGATTAGCCGATATGTACATCAGGAAGAAAGAACAATCTTAAACAAAAAGTATTAGGACGAAAGAGAGAAAAGAGCATACTTCACAGCTATTGAGTTTTTCTAGGTGATAATAAATGCCAACTGTTTTAACAGGGAAGAGACAAGCAAAATTGAAAAATATTGAGGAAAAATGTCTTTAAATTTAGACTATACGTAGGAGGTATTTGGGAGGTTCTGAATATTTTTGAGGGAAATGACAGCATCAAAATCTTTAGGGGAAGAGCATGCCATTGTGTAATTAATCAAAACAATACTGTATATGGAAGATATTTCAAGTTCTGATGTTGGGTATTATCATTAGCTGCAAACAATTTAATGATCGGTTCTATAAAAGAAAGTACCAGAACTAACCCAAAGGCAAAGGACTATAGGCCCTTTGACATCTCTTCATTATAAGGTTGAACATATAAAAATGGCTGATATTCAACCATTTTTGATCTACAAAAAATTGACAGTTTCATGTGTCTCATCCCAACAGTATGATACTAGTTTCTAAACTCTAAAATCCTTAGGTCCTAAATACGTAGAGTAGTAATGACTTCAAAAATCCCCCACTGAATTTAACTCAAATTTAAAAAATTTTTTTAGACATGAGTAAATAATAACAAATAGTTCCAAATAAGATCAAAATAGTTTTCCCATAAAATATTCATTTCTCAAATACTTACTTTGTTATGAATAAAGAGTTTAACTGCTTCTTTTGGGTAATCCAGTGTCAACAATATGTCCAGAAATCGAGGTAGGAAAGGGGTTGGTTGCTCAATAAAAACACCTATTGTTACATTTGGGTGAACCTTTGTTTTGTGGCAAACATAAAAGCAAATTAGAATTAGCATGGTTTTACTTTAAATTCTATTCAAGTTTTAATCAATACAACATAAAACATACTAGAATATCAGTACAACTTAACCTTCTAAATTTGATTGCCCCATGACAATTCTCTAATACATTTTTGTGGACCCCACCAAAGTGATTTTACTGAATCACATCTTAACATTATGATTTAGGTTGAAGAGGAAACTCACTATCGTATAACATAGGGATACTGTAATTAAGGTTACTACCTGCTCTACTATTTAATGCTTCCTTTAAGATAGTCCTAAAACAAACTTGCTTCAGATCTAAATCTATTTGACAGCTTAATCTATGAAGCCAGAATGCTAATTGTGCTTCCATGTTTTTTTCCATGGTTTGGAAGTTTAGTGGTTAATTTGTAGCTCAAAGAAAACAATCACAGAGGACTTGAGACTTTATTTCTATCCTTGAACCTTTAATCTCATTTTATTGATAGTACTTTATTTTGCTTCATCATTATATTATATATAAGGAAAGTTACTTTCTTTCATTAATATATTTTATCTTGTATCGATTTTTAACATTTTCTTAATTTCTGTTTCGGTATGTTTCAGAGAATAGTTTCTTTCATTCATTGCATGAACAATTCTGAAATATCCACTATTAGTCCGTCCTTGTGATAAGAAACATTTTAAAAAAGGAGTGAACATTCCTTGCTTGGAAAACTTACAAATGATTGAGGAAGAAAGAAACATAAGTAAATGCCATGTAACAGTGTTATTACCAGAACCATATGAAAGATTTCTTTATAATACCTTTTTTAATCAGTGTCTTAAAGCCTGACTTTAAAGATTATAGATTTTTAAATTACAAACTACATACAGATGGGTGAAGGAAGTCAAAAGGTAAAAAATAAATAAATACAGTGCATTACTGAGCAAGAAAAAAATTTTTAATAAAGATTACAGATTTTTTTTTTTTTTTTAAATTTATTTGGTACGCGGGCCTCTCACGGCTGTGGCCTCTCCCGTTGCGGAGCACAGGCTCCGGACGCGCAGGCTCAGCGGCCATGGCTCACGGGCCCAGCCGCTCCGCGGCATGTGGGGGGCTCTTCCCAGACCGGGGCACAAACCCGTGTCCCCTGCATGGGCAGGTGAACTCTCAACCACTGCGCCACCAGGGAAGCCCAAGATATTTTAAAGTACCATATATGTTAAGTGCTGAATTAGGTACCTCTCCCCCATCTTTTCACACATGATACCTCACATATTCCTCTGTTATCTGGATAATAACATTATTTGTTTGCACTGAAGTACAAGTCATACACTGTTGTCCTTCTTATCAATTCATTCAGTCACCCAAATATTTATTGCTAAATCAATAAACAAATACAAATAACTAAAGACAAAATATCTACCTTCTAGGAGTTCTCAATTTAACAGGGAAAATGAGTAAAAACTAGATGACAACTCTCCCTTATCAAATGATGTGATGCATTTCATTTAAATTTTGTAATAACCTTAGAAGTTATTTATTATCCCAAATTTACACATGAGGAAAATGGGACTTAGAAGAGTTAAGCAACTCAGAACACATAAATTAGTAGGTAAAGAACCGGGCTTCAACATGCTACATCTCCATTGTCAATCTAAGCTCATTTTTATATACTAATGACACTAAGAGTACAACAGTTAGCTATTACCAAGGCTTAGCACCTCATATATATAATTTATACATATAAAATATCATTATATATACACATCTATATAATTTCATTTAACCCTCCTACCAATCCTGAGATAGCCATTATCATTTTTACATATAGAGAAACTTGCCTACGGCCCACACCTAAGTATATGGTAGCCCTAGATCTTAACTACCCACATAATTTTAATTTTTATATCCCTGTTGCATAATTACTACACATATAAAACACATAAGAAATTTATTTTGCATAATAAAATGGTTTTCCTTTCTAACAGTCTATAAGACAAAAAAGCTTAGCTTAAGAATTAGGTGATTTTCACCTATATGCAAAAAATAAAGATAAAAAAACTATAATATAAATATTTTTCAATCTTTGCACCAGAAAGTTTATGTAAAAGGATACTAAACAGATAAAAGCTTTAACTCTCTCTCCAGAAGACTTTGCAAAAACGATCAGGATGAATTTTTAAACATCTTCATGATGCAGCTTCAGTCAGAAAGTTTCTGGCTTTCTTTCCAGATAGGAAACATGCAGTCTGTTATTTGAGAGACTGGCCAAAAAGTCTTATTTTCAAGTAAAATAGGGTTATATTCAGAAGGTCCTAAATGTGGACAAGTTACTCTTTATCCTCCTTTTTAGAACAGAACAGAAACTATTTAATTCAGGAGTCTGAGCGCTTTACGGTGAGAGTATTTTTGTATTTGCATGGGTACAGGAGTCACCAGAACTATATTAAGGTGAATTTTATTTCTGTCTATACTTAGCTGGCATGCTGTAGATACTCAATAAACCTATGGTGAATGAAGGAAAGAATCAGCCTTAATGACAAAATCATCCCTAGAATTCAATTGTTCATACACATAATCGTCTTCCAAGTTACAAGAGAAATTTTTTGGAAGAAAAATGTTACTATAGGATACCCTAAAACTGCTCTGGTTGATGAGAGAAGGATACATAAAATGTTTAATGGACACATAATCATTACTTTCAGTTGCTCATTTACTCTCAATGTATAAACGTTAAACTATAGGTATAATTCTCTATGAAACACATGTATAAGTAGCACTGTGTCTGGCATATAATATGTACATTACATCCAGGCGAAATTGCACAGTGATCAAGATTATAGGATCTGGAGCCAGACTGCCTAAATTTAAATCCCACCCCCAACACTTAAAAAAAATCACATGCCTTAAGCAAGTTACTGAACGTATATATAACTCAGTTTTCTCATCTGTAAAACTCAGTCAACAGCACTACCTACTTAAGGAATTTGTGAAATTAATATAAGTTACTATCTATAAAATATTAAAACAGTCCTTAGTCATATAATATTATTTTAAAATCATCAAATTTGAAAATCAAGCACAGATAAAATTAGTCCATATAAATAACGAAGCATTGTACCTCAACACTTTGACCAAGTTACCAGACTAAAATAAAACAAGAGCACCCAATCACAGCAAGCTAGTAAATATTAACAATCAAGCCCTTTTCGCTGGGGTCAATTATTAACTGGTTTTGCTGGAAATACACAAATCCAGCAACTTTCGGAGTCATCATGTTTTAGCTTTTTAAATCCATTATCTATCATATTATTAATACTATAAAATAATGTGCTTTTTTTCTTTTACAAATTATTGTATTTCATGACAATGTACTTTTTTGTAATAGATCTTTATTAGAGTATAATTGCTTCACAATACTGTGTTAGTTTCTGTTGTACAACAAAGTGAATAAGCCATAAGCATATATATATATCCCCATATCCCCTCCCTCTTGAGCCTCCCTCCCACCCTCCCTATCCCACCCCTCTAGGTCATCTCAAAGCACCAAGCTGATCGCCCTGTGCTACGTTGCTGCTTCCCACCAGCCAACTATGTTACATTCAGTAGTGTATATATGTCGATGCTACTCTCACTTCGCCCCAGCTTCCCCCTACCCCCACTGTGTCCTCAAGTCCATTCTCTATGTCTACGTCTTTATTCCTGCCCTGCCACTAGATTCATCAGTACCATTTTTTTTTTAGATTCCATATATATGTGTTAGCATATGGTATTTATTTTTCTCTTTTTCACTTACTTCGCTCTGTATGACAGACTGTAGGTCCATCCACCTCACTATTTTTTATTACTATGCTTCACATAGAGTCAATTCCACTTACATCTACTGCAGACAAGTCAATTGTATCCACTTCACAAAGAGTGCAGCCATTGTCTTGTGTCCATGCATTAGGTACATAGTTTCCAAAATAATTCAGGAGAATCTAGCAAAAGAAGGAAAACTGTATTAACAAAAGTAAACCTTGGACTTCCCTGGTGGTGCAGTGGTTAAGGATCCGCCCGCCAATGCAGGGGACAGGGGTTCGATCCCTGGTCCGGGAAGATCCCACATGCTGCAGAGCAACTAAGCCTGCGAGCCACAACTACTGAGCCCACGTGCCACAACTACTGAGCCCGCACACCTAGAGACCGTGTTCCACAACAACAGCAAGAGAAGTCACCGCAACGAGAAGCCCGTGCAGCACAACGAAGAGTAGCCCCCGCTCACCGCAACCAGAGGAAGCCTGCATGCAGCAACGAGGACCCAACGCAGCCATTAAATAATTAATTAATTAAAAGACCCCTCTCAAAAAAAAGAAAAAAAGTAAGCCTCTCCCATCAATGTGCTTCCATTCTATAAACCTCTAACTTCAAAGCATATTTTCTGCATTAGGATATCCCCTTAATAATTCTACTAATACAGTGTACAGTGAATGGGGCAGTGCCAGTGTGACCTCCTACCAGCCATCACCACACAAAACAAATATTGTATACACTTTATCACCAAAAGGCACTAAACTCTTCTCGGAAACTATGTTACCCACTATAACCCAGACTTCTGGGCAGTGATTCAAGGGCACCAACGTGAAGAAAAGAAAGCCTGCAGATTAAAACAGATCTAGAACAAGTCCTAATTAGAGCCACCTCACAGATCATATCAATAATAAACTAAAGTGGGGGTAGAACAAGATAGCAGAGAAGGAAGACCCTGGGCTCACCTCCTCCCAGAGATACACCAAAATTACAATTACAGATAGAGAACCGTCTCTGAGAATGACCTGAAGACTAGAAGAAAATACTTTCCACAACTGAAGATAAAAAGAAAAACCTACAATGAGACAGGTAGGAAGGGCAGAGATGCAGTCTAATCAGAACCCGTGTATCCAGTGAAGGAACCCACAAGTGGGAGGGGTATCACAGCCCCAGAGGTCTTCCCCAAGGAGCGAAGGGTCCAAGCCCCACCTTGGGCCCCCCTTCCTGGGAGACCTGCACCAGAAAGATGAGCCCCCATAACATCTGGCTTTAAAACCATTGGGGTTTATGCGCAGGAGAGCAGAAGGGCCGTAGGAAACCGAGACTCTGCTCTTAAAGGGCACATGCACAGATTCACTCTTTCCAAGTCCCAGTGCAGAGGTAGCAGTTAGAAAAGTGCCTGGGTGATATAAGAAAGAAATTCATTTACTAATTTTAGGGCATGTGCTTGAGGGGCAGGGATCTGTTGCAACTTTCTCTGGGTATAAAGGGGCTGGCAGGTGCCAGTGTTTTTATTTGTTTTGTTTTTATTTGGCTCACCTTCTACCTAGCAACCTGGCACTAGCAGGTGACATTTCTGACTCTCTCCATCAAACTTAATGTACCATTTGCCCCACCCTGGTTTGCCCATGGACCTGACACAGCCAGCATTCCTCCAAAGTGGCCCCCTACCTTGCCAGTCCCCACAAGCACCCTCATCCAGTACCAGAGCCCCACTAAAGCAGCCCTTCACCCTGCCAGTCCCAGCAGGTGCCCTTGGTCAGCACCAATGTCTCCCCAAAGAGGGTCCCATCCCATTGGCCAACCCAGTACACCAGAGTGCCCACGACAGTTGTGGCCAGGCCTTATAGCCAGTTGTACTGGAGACCAGCCCCATACACTAGTGCACCCACAGCAACTGCAGCCCAGCCACAACAGGAGGATGCACACAGCCCACACAGAGGACGTTCCTGGAGCACCTGGCTCTGGTGACCAGGAAGGACCACACCACTGGGCCCCGCAGAACACCTTCCATACAAAGCCATTCTTTGAAGACCAGGAGATATAGCTGATCTACCTAATACATAGAAACAAACACAGAGAATTAGGTAAAGTGAGGAGACAAAGGAATATGTTCCAAATGAAAGAACAAGACAAAAACCTGAGAAAAAACTAAACGAAATAGAGAAAAACTAGAAACTAGAGGGAACCACCAGCAGATTAGATGATGCAGAGGAAAGGATCAGCAATTTGGAGGACAGGGTAATGGAAATCACCCAATCAAAATAGCAAAAAAGAAAAAAGAATTTTCAAAAATGAGGATAGTTTAAGGAACCTCGGGAATAACAACAAGCATTCTAACATTTGCATTATAGGGGTCCCAGAAAGAGGAGAAAGAAAGGGACAGAAAACCTATTTGAAGAAACAATGGATGAAAATTCCCCTAAACTGGTGAAGGAAATACATTTGAGTCCATGAATCCCAGAGAATTCCTAAAAGGTCAACCCAAGGGGATCTTCACATATACACTATCATTAAAATGGCAGAAGTTAAAGATAAAGAGAGTATTAAGGGCAGCAAGAGAAAAACAACTTGACACATACAAGGTAAAACCAGTGAGGTTATCAGCTGATTTTTCAGCAGAAAACTTGCAGGCCAAAAGGTAGTGGCATGACACATTCAAAGAACTTAAAGGAAAAACACAACCAAGAACCTCTAGCTGGCAAAGTTAATGTTCAGAATTGAAGGAAAGATAAACAGTTTACCAGACAAGCAAAAAGTAAATGAGTTCATCACCACTAAACCAACCTTTTAAGAAATGTTAAAAGGACTTCTTTAAGCAGAAGAGACAAGAACATAACCAGAAATATGAAAATTATGCAAGAGAAAAATGCCACCAGTAAAGGCAAATACAAAGTAAAGGTAATGGATCAACCAACTATATAGCTAGTATGAAGATTAAAATAAAAAACTAGTAAAATCAAATATATCTACAATAATTATTTAAGGATACACAAAATTTTTTAGATGTAAAATATGACATCAAAAACATAAAACATGGCAGAGGGGAGTAAAACTGTAGTGTTTTTAGAATACACTCAAACTTAAGCAATGATCAACTTAAAATAGACTGCTATATACATAGGTTGTTACATAAGAACCTCATGGTAACCATAAACCAATTGATATTAGATACACAAAAATAAAGAGGAAGTAATACAAACATTAACTGTAAAGAAAGTAACCAAATCACAAGAGAAGAAAGGAACACAGAAGAACAAAAATAACCAGAATACAACTAACAAAATTGCAGTAAGTACATACTTATCAATAATTACTTTAAATGTGAATGGACTAAATGTTGCAATCCAGAAAATAGGGTGGCTGAATGGATAAAAACAACAAGATCCATATACATGCTGCCTACCAGAGACTCACTTCACATCTAATGTCACACATAGACTAAAAGTGAGGGGATGGAAAAGGGTATTCCATACCATACAAACAGACATGAAAAGAGACTGGTGATAGCAATCCTTATATCAGACAAAATAGACTTTAAAACAAAGACTGTAAAAAGAGACAAAGATATTACATAATGATAAAGGGATCAATCCACCAAGAAGATAGAACAACACACACATGTACATACACACACCCATAGGAGTATCTAAACACATAAAGCAAATACTAACAAACATAAAGGGAGGAACTGACAGTAACACAATAATAGGATAAGACCTTAACACCTCACTTACATCAGTGGACAGATCATCCAGATAGAAAATCAATAAGGAAACACTGGCCTTAAATGACACATTAGACCATATGGACCTTTCTTTTTTTTTATGTTTTCAATTCTTTTTAAACATTTTTATTGGAGTATAATTGCTTTACAATGTTGTGTTAGTTTCTGCTGTATAACAAAGTGAATCAGCTATATGTATACATATATCCCCAAATCCCCTCCCTCTTGCGGCTCCCTCCCACCCTCCCTATCCCACCCCTCTAAGTGGTCACAAAGCACTGAGGTGATCTCCCTGTGCGATGCAGCTGCTTCCCACTAGCTATCTATTTTACATTTGGTAGTGTATATATATCAGTGCTACTCTCTCACTTCGTCCCAGCTTACCCTTCCCCCACCCATGTCCTCAAGTCCATTCTCTACATCTGCGTCTTTATTCCTGTCCTGCCCCTAGGTTCTTCAGAACCAATTTTTTTTTAGATTCCATATATATGTGTTAGCATATGGTATTTGTTTTTCTCTTTCTGACTTACTTCACTCTGTATGACAGACTCTAGGTCCATCCACCTCGCTACAAATAGCTCAATTTCGTTTATTTTTATGGCTGAGTAATATTCCATTGTATATATGTGCCACATCTTCTTTATCCATTCATCTGTCAATGGACACTTAGGTTGCTTCCATGTCCTGGCTATTGTAAATAGTGCTGCAATGAACATGGACTTAATAGATCTGTATAGAATATTCCATCCCAAAGCAGCAAAATATACTTTCTTTTCAAGTGCATATGAAACACTTCCCAGGACAGATGATGCACTAGGCCACATAACAAGTCTCAATAAATTTAAGACTGAAATCATATGAAGCATATTTTCCAACCACAAGGGCATGAGATTAGAAACCAACTACAAGGGGAAAAAAATGCAAAAAATACAAACATGTGAAGGCTAAACAATATACTAGTAACCAACCAATAGGTGACTGAAAAAATCAATGAGGAAATAAAAAATATCTCCAAATGAAAATGTAAAAACAAGGATCCAAAATCTGTGGGATGCAGCAAAAGTAGTTCTCAGAGGAAAATATACAGTGATACAGGCCAGCCTATCTGAGGAAACCAGAAAACAATAAACAATCTAACCTTACACTTACAGGAACTAGAAAAAGAACAAACAAAACCCAAAGTTAGTAGAAGGAAGGAAATAATAATAATGAAAGTGGAAATAAATGAAATAGATAATAAAAAAAAGAAAAAAAATCAATGAAACTAAGAGCTGGTTCTTTGAAATGATACAAAAATCAACAAACCTTTAGCCAGATTAACTCAGGAAAAAAAAGAGAGCCCAAATCAATAAAACCAGAAATGAAGGAGGAGAAGTTAAAAAGGACACCACAGAAATACAAAGGACCATAAGAAATTACTACAAACAATTATATGCCAACAAACTGGCCAACCTAGAAGAAATG